CTTATCTGTTACCCCTTCGCGTACGCCCCCTAAATAGAGTCGTTTTATTTTCCTCTTTTCAACTCCGACAAATAAATCATGGTCATCGTTAACACTGCTTGTTGCTGAATGATCACTATGAGCTTCATGACTGTGTTGCTTATTCGGGCTGTTGTTTCCCTTTGCCGGTTTCAGTAATTGAGAACTGTCTTTGGAACTATGTTTTGTTGGATTAGTTTTTGGAACACTCGAGTGATTTTCTGGGCTCAGATTTGCATTTATGTTTACAGCTGCTGCATATGTATTTTTATTAGCCTCAGGAGATAGGATTTCAATTGTTGTCGCTAATGAATTTTCCCTAATTGATTTTGCTTTGTCAGTTTTTTTTGTTTTAATTTCCTCTGAGCTCAAAATTGTATTTGCAGCTTCTACGTATATATTTTTGTTTGACTCAGAAGATTGATTTTCAATTGTTATCGCTAATGGGTTTTTACTAATTGATTTTACTTTGCCAATTTCTTTTGTTTCCTTTCTAAGTTTCTCAAGGTCTTTAGATAGCTTTTGAAAATTGCTTTCATGTTTTGCTATGTTTTCTTCATTTTTATTTAACTCAATCTCACATGATTCTAGTTTCGCCTTCGTATTTTCCAAAGAAGATTTACAATTCCCCTTAAATGTGGCAAGTTCCGATTCAAGAGCTTGAATTTTAGCTTGCTTTGCACATAAATCAGACTTTAACTCTGAGATCTCGTCTTTAAGGCATGTCACAGTCTGATCAAAGTCTTCTCTCAATGTACACAATTTTATATCTAAATTTTCAGCTAAACTCGTAAATTGGTCAATGTCAGTACAGTTCGTTATTTTTTGACCTTGCGAGCTACTGAACGACATTTCAGGATGTACAGACGAAGACTTTTTAAACAACTCATTGATCTCAACTGTGATTTCTTCTGAACAACAGTATTTCACTAAGGCAATAATATCACTCGCCAATTTCTCGTTTGCAGATTTCCCCCCAGAACGGGTTATTCTACGTAAGGGTTTGTCTTTTGGAAAGTTAGGAAATTTGTACCTGCAATATTCCATGATCTTGTCTCTTTTACCGTGTAACTTTGCCGAGGAATCCTTCGATAATTTTGCTTTAACCGCTGCGGTCGATGTCGTTAAAATTTCAGTGTTTAATTCTTCTACAAGCTTCTGTGTTTCGCCATTATTCCCGTCCATAACCTTGTCAGTCCCTTCTGAATGATTATCGATCAAATTTATTAAAGACTGAGCCAAAATTAGGTTGTTATTTGACTTTTGAGTGGAGCTTGAAATTTCATGACCGTCCTCCATGACAGTCAGTCAGTCAGTGTAACTTGATAGGTTACACTAGGGCACAGCTAGGTTACACTAGGGCACACGCTAAGTTACAATAGGGCACGTCAATATGTCAGTCAGTCAGTCAGTCAGTCAGTCAGTCAGTCAGTCAGTCAGTCAGTCAGTCAGTCAGTCAGTCAGTCAGTCAGTCAGTCATACAGTCAGTCAGTCATACAGTCATACAGTAAACTTTCCGGGGGGTGTATACGATTTATGTTCGTAGTGATTTATTGTGCTTTGTCAGTACTTTGAAGGTTATTGAAGCAATTTCAGTTAACTTATTTACATATTCTGTTATCCTTTTGCCAAGTTCACAAAAATTTTGAGGAATCGCTTTTGTTATTGTATTTTTTTGTAAATTTTAGAACATTCGTTTCTCATGTTGTGTAAAGGATCTTTACCCCGGAACACCCGTTTTTTTTAGTAGCGCAAATGCGCATGCGCTATCAAGCCGTAGATCACGATGGCGTGACGATATGCTAGGAAGGAGTGACAGTGTTGTTTTCAGATGTATAAACATTTCAGACGTGAATATTGAGTAAATTTTTGAAAATCTACGCAATATATATGTTGATCTTATGCATTACGGGCGTTCAATTAAGTGCCGGTAATATTTAGACGGTATATTCATTATACAGAGCTAGGAAGGAGCTAGACCGCCTAGACAGTGCAGTCAACACTCAAGTATATAAACATTTCAGACGTATTAACTATTGAGTCGAAAATCTTTGACATTATAGGCATTCAATTGAGTGCTGATATTATTTTCACGGTATACTCATTATACGGAGGTACAGTACGTACGAAGAAGCGAGACAGTGTTGTTTTCAGGTATATAAACATTTCAGACATGAATATTGAGAAAATCTTTGAGATTCTACGCAATAATATAATATATAAATTGATGTTATGATTACCGGCATTCAATTAAGTGCCCATCGATATTATTTAGACCGTGTATTCATTATACATTGTCATTGACTGTATAAGGTGCTACATCACAGAACTCAGTACAAAGAGCGAAAAATTGCATCAGATCTGCATCAGATCAATAAAGCGTAAACAACTATTAAACAGAAGCGGGTGTTTCCGTGTTTGCACAGGCGTTTACGAAGAAAATATTGCGAGACGAAAGGAATCAGTTGAGTCAGAGCTCCTTATTTAAATAAGAAAGACGATGAGATAGCCAATGTGCAATTATCGCCAACGTGTTATCGCCAATCGCTTGGCTCGTCAACAAGATTTATGCAATGGAAGAAAAAAGCAAGGAGGTACATGTAGCCAACGTGTACTGTCACGGACCTTGTCTAGCACAACGCCGTCGTCAACGGTGCAAACTCGTGTTCAGTGCAACGATAACTCTACCAGATCTTACGAGAATCAATCTGTAGTATTCTGTACACAGAACTGTATCAAAGCTTGTCAAAACTGCTTTAAGCACTGCAGCTATAACTGTGAAACTATTGAAATCTAAAGTGACATTATTCAACAGTCAACACATTCGAAAAGCTGAAAATAGACACAACGTGACCTTCGAAAAGTCAAAGGTCAATGAGACTTGTTATTGTGAAACATGTCACAATTAGGTTAAAATGCGGAAGCGGATGGAGCGGATCCACGGAACGGATATGCGGATAAAATACGGAATGGATGAAGATAAAATGCTTCCTTTCAATGATAATAGTGCTTATTATTCATAACATATCGTATAAGCTATTTCAATTATAGTTTTAGATAAGTTTAGCATAGAGTAGCCTCGTGGGGATGCTTTTAGCGACAGCTGCAAATGCAAATGCAAATGAAAATTTAGAATATGCAAAGTTTGGTTGTTGGTGAAACAATTGAAATTTAGCATGCGTGTAGCATCACAATAAATAGATAAATTGTGTCAGTTTCACAAGGCACGTTTCTGATGTGTTAGGCTTGTTTCAAACGTCACGCTACTCGTGTGCCGAGCGCATTAAAGTGCATATGACATGAAATTTATTATTTTCTTAAATGAAAGAACTCTTTAAGCTGTAGTGTAACTTATATTTCAGTTTCTTGTTTTTTTGGTTTGTTCCCGAGTCCCGAGATATTTCAATTTGTTTGATATGTAAATGATTGTGAATATGTCCGCTAATTTATGACGCCACGTTGGTTGCAAGCTCAACTTACACTGGCTATAAATGTATTGAAAATATCAGTTCACGTTTTTCTCCAGTGTTTCATCACGTTTACCAGAGAGGGAAGTTTGAAGTTATCATCTTGGATGATAGCAGTGATATTCAACCATTTTGAGGAGCTTGCAACCAACGTGACGTCATAAATTAGCGGACATATTTACAGTTTAATTGTATTGAAATTAACATGCACCAAGTCAAGAAATGCCCTCTCCCTTCCTTTTTTGTGTCAAATGTTTGCCACATCACAAATAAGGTGACTGAACTATCGGCTGTTATTTCCAATAACAAATCAACAATAAATTTGATAGTAGAATCTTGGTTAACAGACGACGTTCCAAATAGCTTTATAAATATTGGCGATAACTATCTTATATTTCGTCTTGATCGACCAACCCCCGGGGGTGGTGTACTAGCGTACATCGATAAATCGGTACCAGTATCTCGTCTGCCAAATCTTGAAGAAGCTGGAAAAGAGGTACTATGGCTGCTCCTTAAACCCCACCGTTCACCGAGACCCTTTAGTGCTATCATTGTGGTCACCGTTTATTATCCACCAGGGCAGTCTGTTGAGAAAGAACATGAAATGATA